AAAAAAAAAAAAAAAAAGTAAAAGAAAACTTAACATCAAAACATTTAAACAAGGATGAAGTGCTTTAGAAGTCTTATCTGATCCTTACAACATACAAAGTAGGGATTTTATGGAAGAGAAAATCAAAGTACAAAGAAGTTTTTAAAGTGCCTGGCCAGGAGCGGTGGCTCACGCCTGTAATCCCAGCACTTTGAGAGACCAAGGCGGGCAGATCACCTGAGGTCAAAAGTTTGAGACCAGCCTGGCTAACATGACGAAACCCCATCTCCACTAAAAATACAAAAATTAGCTGAGCGTGGTGGTGCACACCTGTAGCCCCAGCTACTCTGGAGGCTGATGTCAGGAGGCTGAGGTATGAGAATCGCTTGAACCTGGGAGGCGGAGGTTGCAGCGAGCCAAGATTGCACCACTGCACTCCAGCATGGGCGACAGAGTGAGACTCTGTCTCAAAAAGTTAAAATAAATACATAAAAAATAAAATAAAATGCCTAAGGTCACCCAAGTGACTGCCAGAAACAGCCTCTGACCCTGAGCAGCCTGGTTCCAGCACCAAGCTCTGAACCACCACCCACACAACCTCCTAAAGACCGGGAGACCTCCCAGGAAGGCGTGCAGAAGCTGCTGGGTCCCCAAAGGGATGCAGGAGAGAGTCTGGGAGTTGTCAGCACAGAGAGGAGGCGTAGAAGCCATTGGTGGGGGGGTGACGCACCCCAGGGAGGGTGTGGGGGCGGACAAGGGCCCGGGAGGAACCTCGAGTGCCCAAGGAGCACGGGGAGAGAGAGGTGTGGGGAAGAGAGGAGCAGGTGTCAGGAAGATCGAAGGGGCCTTGAAGAGTCAGGACAAGAGAGACAAAGGAAACCCTCAGGCATGGCCACGGGGAGGTCACTGCTGACACAGACAAGGTAGGAGGAAAATCCCAAATGTTGGGATCTCGGAAATGGGTGTGCACCATGAGCGTAGATAACTCCCGCCATATTTGGTGGGAGCAAAGGACCCGAGGAGGGCCGGCTTGAAGGGACAAGGTACTCAAGTGAGTGGGGGATTCTGCCAGGCCCCTCATCCAATGAGACAGGATAGGGAGATGTGACGAGAGTCGGGGGCTGTCGGGGTGAGACTCAGGACTGGATATTGAGTCTCCTTAGTCCAGTGTGGGACATCACAGAGAGGACGTGGAGGAGGCTGGAGGCCCTGGCGGGAGCCTGGGGACTTAGATCCTGAATTGGGATGACAGGGATGGATGGCCCATGGTCCCTGGGAGCTGAGACCAGCACTGACGGGTGCTGAGGACCCTGGGACCTAGTTCCAAGAGGCGGCTGTGTGTTTGGGGTAGAGGCTTTGAACCCAGATCCTGAAGAGGGGAGCAGGAGCGGCCTTCCTGGGTGGGGCCAGAGTGGACAGGGCAGTCAAACCAGCCAGACAGCAAACAGAAGGCCAGGATGTGCAGAAGTGCCCACGCTGGCAGAGGGCAGGTGGGGAGCAACCAGCCTGGTAGGAGTGGGTCCCCCAGGACAGGCAGGCTCCCTGGCAGAGGGGTCCCGAAGCTGTGCTCTGCCAGGGAATGTCCCAGAGTCCTCTTTAACAACCCCTGGGAATTCTCAAGGACTAGGGACGTCTCCCCTCCCACCAGGGCCTGCCCCAAGGCCACCCTGACTCTTTGTTGTTGTTTTTGTTGAAACAGAGTCTGGCTCTGTTGCCCAGGCTGGAGTGCAGGGGCGCCATCATGGTTCACTGCAGCCTCGACCTCCCGGGCTCAAGTGATCCTCCTACCTCAGCCTCCTGACTAGCTGGGATTACAGGCAAAGGCCATCATGCCTGGCTATTTTTTGTAGAGATGAGGTTTCTCTGTTTGCTGGTCTTAAACTCCTAGGCTCAAGCAATCCTCCTCCCAAGTGCTGGGATTACAGGTGTGAGCCACTGCGCCCAACCCGCCCTGACTCTTCTCAGACCAGGTATGACCTGTTTTTCCCCTCACACCAGAGGTTCCCCTCAGGCCAGGCTCAAGTGACCCCTAGAACCTCCTCTTTGGAGACTGCCTTCTCTGCATCTTCCCTATACCCACTCCTGCCCCTCCCCACCCCCATGCACACAGAGGAGACGAATACACAGCTACTTCCGGATTATTTTATTCACATGGCTTGGTGGGGTACAGGCACTCCTGCCAGAGAGACAGGAGCAGGCCTCCCCGCCGGCCATGGTCAGTCACCCACCTCCCAGCCCTCTTAGGGTTAGTGCTAGTTATCACACACACAACAGCGAGGGGGTAGAGAAAGGAAGGCAAGAAGGGATCCCCATCTGCCCAGGGGCTTCAGACGGCCGCAGCCTGAGCCCCCTCCATCCTGGCCGGGCCTGGAGCCCCTGTCTCTGAAAACCCCACACTGGGCAGCCGCACCCGGAATCCACCTTCTTCCTGGTCCCCACTCCCACTCCGGGCCTTGGGGCTTAGGGACACCCTGGGGAAGCGGAACTTGGGTGACTTCTCTCTGACGGGGGACTTGGGAGCTGCATCGCCCTCCTGCCCCCGAGAGGTTTTAGAAGGGGCCGCCAGGCCTACACGTGGCAAGCGGACCCGGACCCGGCCCCGGCGCCCCAAGGCCCCTTCCCCACTGCCCTCTTCCTCCTCCTCCTCCTCGGGGCTGGGGGAGCCTTCCCCAGTGACCATCTCACTTTGGCTGAAGCCCACTCGGGGCAGCCTGAGTTTGGGGCTCTTGGCCTTCTCACCCTCCTCGGCCCCCTCCTTGGCCCACGCCAGGCCAAACCGGGGCAGCCGTACCTTGAGCTTGTGTCCAGCCTCCCCCTCCCCGTCTGCCACCTGGTACTCGGCGTGGTTGCCCCCGGGTGGTGAGAGCTCCACGTCGGGCAGTGAGAGGCGGAAGGTACGCTCGTCCCCTGGGGGCTGCTCCTCAGCACTCTCGCCCCCCACCCCAGCTCCGGTCCCCAGTGTGGGCAACTTCAGCCTCAGCCCACCCTTGCCTGTGGCCACCTCGCCTGCCTGTGCCTCTCGGCTTAGCCCCACGTCCAGCTCAAGCTGGGGCACTGTCACGGTGGGCATCTTGAAGACACCCTCACCCACCAACAGTTCCCCACCTGCAACCTGGGCTCCAGGCAGAGACAGGGTCACCTGGGGCACCTGAACCCTGCAGCCTGCTGTGTCCTCTGCTGAAGGGGCCGTACTCTCAGCTTGCTGCCCTGGGGTACCCACCTCCCCAAAGCCGGTCAGCTCCACCTGGGGCAGGGAGATGCCCAGCGGAGGCATCCTCAGCCCCGCCTCATGGCCCTCGGTGACCACCTGCCTGGCTGTGGACACCTTCAGGCCTGACAGCTGCATTCCACTGACGGCCACAGCCCCCTCTGCCCTCCCTTCCTCCTGGGCGCCCAGTGTGACCAGCTCCACCTCGGGGATCTTAAGCTGCACAGCCGTGGACTCAGCCTTTTCCCCCGGGCTGGCACGCTCACCTTGAACTTCTGCTTCCTTCCCTCGAGCCAGCCCAAAGGAGGGCATCTTCAGCTTGGGCATCTTCACCCTCCCATCCCAGCCCCAGCCCTTGCCCTCCAACTCAGCCATCCCCGGCACTAGTTCTGCTGCCTCAGTGTCCCGGCCTCTGACCCCAAACTTGGGCAGAGCAAACCTGGGCCCCTTGACCTTGAGGTCGGCCCCTGCCACCTCTGCCTTGCCTGAGGGCAGGTGGGCATCCAGGCTGAGCTGTGGGATGGACAGATCGAGGGCAGGCAGCAGGCCTGCCTCCCCAGCCCCTTTGGCCTCAGCCTCAGCCCCCACCCGAGCCTTGGGGAGTGAGATGGCAAACTTGGATACCTTCAGCTTGGTGGCTCGCCCAGGCCCCTCAGCCTCTGCCTTAGCCACCTTTGGCCCTGAGAGTCCAAACTTAGGTAAGGAGAACTTGGAAGAGGGCTTGACTTTCATCTCCATCATCTCCAGCCGCCCTTCCTCAATTTCCACAGCGGGCAGCTGTGGAGTGACAATTTCAACAGAGGGCACTCGGAAGCCCACTTCCCTGACCTCGGGGCCCTCCACCCGCTCTACCTTGCCCATTTCAGTGGCTGGGACCTGCCTCTCCAGGCCAAGGGCTCCTGGTAGGTCTAGCTCCACTGAGGGCAGAGTGAGAGAGGGGACACCCACATGAGCCTCACCATCCACCTCTGGCTGCAGACAGGGAAGTGTTACCAGCTTCCCTGAGACCTCAGCACCCGCCTCGCCTGGCTTTCCCCGTGACGGGGACTCTGCCCTCCCTAGCTTGGGCATGGTCATCTTGGGCATCTTGAAGCCAAATTCCATCCCTTCTGCCTGCTCTGCCTTGGCGGCCTTTAGCTGCACCTCTGGAGCCCTAGGCAGCTTCACCTCTGGTGCCTTCGGAAGATGCACATCGGGAACCTTCGGTAGTTGCACTTCCGGCATCCGAATCTCTGACACTTTCGGCAGCTGCACCTCGGGGAGGTGCACATCGGGCACGGCCATCTCAGGCACCTTGGGGAGTTTTATCTCCGGGAGCTTCACGTCAGGGACTTTCATTTCGGAGACCTTGGGCAGCTGCACCTCTGGGAGGTGTACATCGGGCACGGCCATCTCAGGCAACTTGGGGAGTTTCATCTCTGAGACTTTTGGCAGCTGCACCTCGGGGAGTCGAACCTCTGGCACAGCCATCTCGGGCATTTTAGGGAGTTTCATCTCTGGGGCTTTCGGCAGCTGCACCTCTGGGAGGTGCACATCGGGCACGGCCATCTCAGGTACCTTCGGGAGTTTCACTTCAGGGAGTTTCATTTCAGGAAGCTTCATCTCAGGGACTTTCATCTCTGGGACTTTCGGCAGCTGCACCTCTGGAAGCCGCACCTC